CTTCAAGGTTTACCCCTACTGACACACTTCCTCCATCAAGGCAACACTCACTCCATCAACACCATACTTCCCGTTTGCCCTCAAGTAGCGCCACATCCTAATGACCAGGCATCAAATATATGAGCCTACAGGGGCCATTCCTATTCCAAACCATGACACTTACTGAGCATGATGCACTGGGCTCCTTACTCATATACAATGAAGTCTTTACACATGCTCTGTTAGGTTGAGACTCTTGTGGCTCCATGTCAAGGAGGTCAACAGGCACGTATTTATCTAATGTGCACGTGTTTTCAGTGTTGATAGAGTCAGGACTTGAACTCGGGACATTCTACACTTGATCTTAGCCAAAAGGCCGAGAAGCGATGAACTCGGGACATTCTAATCCAGATCCCACTTCAGACAAATAAGCTTTACTATCTTAAAAACACAATGGCATTCCTACCTCTTTGTATTACCTATGTGCATCATTGTATGTGCATGCTATAAATGCTTTTTCTGCTTCCACAGCACTGCCTTGTATGGTGATATTTTATTTGTGCTGAAATGTGATTTTATTTGTATGTTAATAAATAAAAGTGCCTGGGGGTCAGAGTTAATAACAAGCCATTTAGCAGAAGTCTGGCAGTGGTAGCACACACCCTTAATCCCGATCACATGACAGGCAGATTTCTGTGTGTTCAAGGATATAGCCAGCATGGAGACACTTGCCTTTAATCTCAATACCAACCATAGAGACCTAGAGGTCTGTATAGACAGGCAGTGACGAGGAGGTCATGTGGTTGGATTTACAACCAGTGAGAAGGCAGAACAGAAAGTCAATAAGAAGACAGACACACAGGAAGTAGGTCTCTTTCTGAGGGGAAGGACGCCAGCGACAGCCAAGGGTAAGAAGGTAGTTTTGGTCTTAGCTCTTGGCTGCTGCTCTGACCTCTTGGGCTTTTAACTCTGCATTTGGCTCTGTGTTTCTTATGTAATAAGACCATTACATCTACAGCCTTGTGCCAAGTACTAGGTCCTTGTCTTAGTAAATTCACTGGGGTCCTTTGTGGTTCTTAGGGACCACACCCTCCTTGCTTCTGGGATTTCCTTGTCCTATCAGGACCTGGAGTCCTACCTGGCCCTGGTCCTGCTGTGTGCTGCCTTTGACATCTGCTCTTCTCCCTGACTCCTGGACCTTGTGCTGTTCCTAATCATTATGTAAATGTAATGTAAAGAATGTTTTCTTTGCCTGTTAGTGCCCGCATTTGAGATTATTTCCTTATGCTGTTTGTAGAAGTAGAAGAATTGGGTTAACGGGTGTTAACATCTAACACAGGCACCGTGTGAGGATGCTCATTCCTTCCTCTGACCAGTCCTCAGTAGTATTTGGGGTGGGGAAGACTTCATAAAGAGACACAATCTGCACTGAGATTGCCTGAAGCTGAGGAAGGAATGAAAACATGTTTAGCAGTGTGGGTCGGAGGCCTCAGCTCCTCCTGGGACCTGACCAGGATGAGAGTGAACGACCTGTTGATATGGTGGGAGCTGAAGATAATGGTGTCTCACTCTCAGGACTGCACTCTGTCCTTGTAACTGATGACTCGGTGTTCTTGCCCAAACCTTGCAAACATGCACCTATGCCAGGCTGGCCTCAGACTCACTATGTAGACTAGGAGAATCATGAACTCCTAATTTTAGGCCTGTCCCACAGAAGTGTTAGGATCCCAGGTTTGTGCCGTCCATAAGCCTTCCAATATTCACATGAAATCAAAAGGAGATAGAGAGAGAATATTTAAAAAATCTTTGAGCAGGGCGGTGGTGGCATAGGCCTTTAATCCCAGCACTCGGAGACAGAGGCAGGCAGATCTTTGTGAGTTCAAGGCCAGCCTACTTTACAGAACAAGATCCAGGAAGGCGCAAAGCTACACAGAGAAATCTTGTCTCGAAAAACAGAAAAACAAAACAAAACAAACCCCCCCAAATACTTAATAGCCAAACATGGTCTGAGATGTGACAGGTGTTCTGAAGTCCCACCCCCCCAAAGTGAGACCGAGTGTCAGCTCCTCAGAGCCCAAATTCTTTGTGCTCTATAATGCTAACAGGGACTTGAGACATTAGCAGACAGGGTGGAGTCATTCATCTCATCATTGACAGGTTAAAAAAATCACATTAATACAGAGATGAATTTTAACTAATTTGCTCGCAAAAGAATTTAAACATAGAGATGATAAGCATTGATCCAGCTATGGGTACACATCCCATTGGGTACACATCAGCACATTGTTGAGCTGTGGAAGGTTGTGGAGTTTTGTAGGGCAGTCAACGACAATCACCCAGGACTGTAATTTGCCCAGGTGGGGCCACAGCCACCCACATGTCCAGCAGGCAGACAGCAGAGTGAGTCCATGGCAACCTTGTGCAGGGGTGCGAGGTGCAGGTCAGAGTAGCTATAAGGCCAGAGTGGGGGTAGGGTTGGGAGAAGTGACCCTCTGTATTAGTCAGGGTTCTCTAGAGTAACAGAATTTATAGAATAAATCTCTCTCTACGTACAGAAAGGGGATTTATAGAATGACTCACAGGCTGTGGTTCAGCTAGTCCAACAATGGCTGCCTATGAATAGAAGGTTGAAGACTCCAGTAGCTGCTCAGTCCACAAGGCTGGATGTCTCAGCTGCTCTTCAGTACAGGCTGGAATCCTGAAGGAGGAGGAGGACCTAATGCCAGGGAAGGAAGGGACTTGTTAGTCAGGCAAAAGCAAGCAGGCAAAGATCAAAAACTTCCTTCTTCTGTGTCCTTATATGGGCTTCCAGCAGGAGGCGTGGCCTAGATTAGAGTCAGGGCTTCCCTCCTGAAAAGATCTGTATTAAAGGCATATTTTCCCACCTCAAAGATGGGGATTAGAAGTGGGTCTTTACACTTCCAATTATACAAAAATCCTCTTATAGGTGTTCCCTATATATGGGTTTTAAGTTAATTCCTGATGTAATCAAGTTGACAACCAAGACTAGCCATCACACCACTCAACCAGAGTCTTAACAGACTCCAAGAGGTGCTCTGCCATCCAGACCCCGCCCCCCCAAAGAGTTAGCAAATAAACCCTATTGGAAATCTGTGGGACAAAGGTTGAATCACAGTTTCGTTGAGCTAAGTCTGAGTGGGAACTACGTGTGCACCTGTGTTTATGTGCACTGTGTTGGCATGTTGTTTCAATTAGTTCAAGTGGAAAAAAACCAAATTATTTCCATCACATAATACCCTTGATGGTTCTGGAATAAAGGATGCAGAGCCTGGCTTCTTCCCTCTGAGTATCTCCAGGATCAGAGACAAGCTCAAGATTCTTGGTACCCATATTCCCTTGGTGTCTGTGGCATATGTGCCAGATGTCTGCCCACAAAGGAGAGCAGTGCCCTGCTGGAGATGAGCAGAGCAGCCGATCCTAACTCTGTTTATCAGGAGAAAAAGAGAGATTCTGAGTGGGCAAGCACTGTACACAGTGTCACACAGCTGATTCTGACTTTAAAGAGAAAATGTGATTTTAATAATTCCAAAGTTTCTAGACTATTCTTTGCTTGTATTGACAAATAGGTTGCCCTTACCTGGACTCTGCCCTTGGGTCTTTCAATTACACAAAGGTGCTGTTAACAGGATTATGCACCTTGCCCTCCCTGTCCCCACACTGGCTCTCTTTCCCACCCAGCACCCAGACTGCAGAGAGGATGGTTAAGGTCAGGGGTGTAGGCAGGACACCCACTGACTTAGTTCCTTCTGGTATGTGGAACAGTACACTCTTTTCTGGGCCTCAGTTTCCACTGTGGGTCCTGCCATAGACACACACTCGGAGAGAGTCATGGTGCAGTCTCTGGGTTCCTTGTGTCTCCCAAGTCTACATTTGCCACCATCTGTTCATGTGGGGGCCTTAGGGGCAACGCCAGGGTGGTCTTCACACTAAGATGGGTGGACTTTGGGCTCTCTGCTCTCTCCATTCACATTCTTCAATTCTTCCATTACCCTGAGGACACCCAGAACAGGCATGTTCCCTCTGAGGTGCCCTGGGAAGGCATATATCAGGCGGCCTGAAATGACGTTGAACCTTTTAGTGATCCCATCTGAGGGGTGTCCCACAGTCTCTTCTGCTGATTTCTGAGGGAGAGAAAAAAGCAGCCAGATTCCAGCCAGGATGAAAGTTTAGTCAAAGGCTAATGAACCTGTGATCTGGACCAATGCCTAAATTACGTTTATAGACAGGGGCAATAGTCCTTTTTTAGAGTGGCTGTGGGCATGAGCAGTGATTTCCATACTTAGAGAAGTTCTTTCTGGCTGAGTTAGGTGGGACACAGTGGTCCTTAGCAGTGTGTCCAGTCTCCAGCTGGGCAACTGAGTCACAGCCAGAGGCAAGTGCAGGGCCAATGTTCCCAGCCTGAGAAGGGGAAGTGGAGTCACACCTGCTGAGCAGCTGATGATCCTGTGGACTCCCCAGACAAGCCACTCACCTGCTGCCACCCTCAGTCTTGCCTTCTCCACAGACCCACTCGGAGGAGCGACCTCACGCCCTTCTCATCTCATAGTGCTGGATGAATGTCTGTGGTCTCAGCCACCATTGACTGTGGGACCCTCTATAGATCATTTCCCAGCGCTGCTGGCCATGTCCCTCTTTCAAGTAGAATCCCCTTCCTATCTCCTCACCTGGGTTCTTGGGGGGCACAGAATACTACTCCAAGGTCAGTAACAAATATGGATATTGCAAATGAAAGTTTCCTGAAGGAATCCCAACTGAGTCTTCTAAGAGCCAAAATAGGTAGGTAGAATGTCAACAGCTGTGGAGAGCTTGGAATGTTTCAGATCAAGAGCAAAATGACAGTTTGTCTCTGGCTGTTTTTAGTCCCTTAAATATTGGTTCCTTGTCAGCCCTGTGTTGGATTTAACATCCTGTGACTAAGAGATAAAAACCATTTGGGATATATTAACTTAGCTGACCACTAACTTCCACAAACCCACAAGCTGAGAACATCAGCAGATGGAATCTGAGGACTGTAACCTGCTCTGATGTTCGACAAATGTGTTCATTTATGGCTTTCTTTTTTCTGTTTCTACAACAACTCCATGATTGGTTACCATGTTGAAAGATGGACTTTGGTATAACCTGACTCTGTGTTCCTGGGCCATGGTCCCTCCTATTAGGCTTCAGATCAACACTGTCTTATCCCCTTTGAGGTGAGAGTTAGATATTTGTGTTGACAATGGTAATGAGCAGCTGCCTCCCAACCCTAAGCCCAGGCTTTGGACTTTAAACCCATTCCTGTCCTTCTTTGTCCCAGCATCAGTTCAGCTCCTGCCCCAGTTGGAGGGGAGGGTTCAGTCACACTGTTCTTCCTGCTGCCAACATCTATGGGAAGAAAACACAGAAGGGAGAGGTAGGAGGAGATGAGTGCCCCTCCTCACCCCCCAGCCTCCTGAGGGAGGTTCTCCCAGGAGGAGGGAACAGCACTGCACCTGGAGTCCTTGTTAATGCAGAGTTCAGGAGCATTTGTGCTTGGCTCCTGTCTGGCCGCACCAGCCCTTAGAGACAACACCGAGAGTCAGGATACCTGAGGAATCTTCCAGGTTCTTAGGTCCCAGGACAAAGAACTGAAGCAAACACACAGTGAGGTAGTTACAGCAGAACAGTTTATTTAGGGGATGAAGACATGCCTGAGGACGGAGTGGACTGGGGATCCAGGGGAAGGCATTGCTCTAAACCACAGGGCTGGAGGCTCAGGACTTATTTACACAGCACACATCTTCTCTTGGGTCTGTGTTTGGCGGGTTCTTCTCTCCCATGCTTTGTTTCGGTAGCTGAGGTGGGGAGGGCTTTCCAGTCTTTGTGACAAGTAGTTTCTTCCATGTTCAGTGCAGAGACCACTCTCTCCAGTCCCTCTTTGGCACATCCTCTGGTCCTGGTCTCAGGCATCAGTTGGACTCATTGACCCACTCCTGTGCACACTGACCTGCCATGATCAGGCAGAGGCCTGGCTCTCTGTCCCATGGACTTGACTGGACCCATGTTCCCCTTCTAACAGTGTCTCCACTGTCCCCAGCTC